CGTTAACTCCCCAATGTACGTCACGAGGGAGTTGCGCATGATAAGACTCAAAATGTGAAAAGGCGCGACGCTACGGGGCAAAAAACAGCGAGGGAGGGGACCAACGGGAGCGGATGGTTCGTATGTTTCAGCGCTGCCCGGTGGTATCTTGTCACGTACGTACGTCTTATCGGAATTCAATCAAATCAAATGAGCAGCACAGGCAAGGACACTGTCGCTATTATTTTGTCGAGATAGTTAGGGGCTGCAGGAACCCATAATTAACAGAAGAACGGCAGGGATTAACCGGTAGGTTTCTGTCTGTATTAAAACTCTTACTCCGGCAGCCGGTGCTAGATTCAAGTCGATTCGGAACGGTTCCGCTAAATGGAAGGACTACATGTATTCGAAAGGCCACGTAGTAATCTAATGTTTCTCAAAAACCTTTTATTTATTTATTTATTTCTCTGTTTAGTTGAAAGGGCCATTTTAGAGGCCCTCATAGATCTGAAGGGTAAAATTCCGACAAGCGACATGGCCGTGAAACGGCGACTGAAGGGAAATAAAATGGTGACAAGCCGATACAAAGATGGGTTGAAACTCTGACAGCAACGAAGACAAGCGCAAAAACAATAATAAAATGCCCACAGGACATGGCTTCCTCCCCAATTCGTGAAACGACGGGTTTCGAAATTCAGACTAGGGACATGCCTATGCACCCTAAGAGAGCCTCCTTTTAAAGTCCTTAAATTTTTTCTCGTCGATTGGGTCGGGGATAGAGGAACTTACCGCTGAGACTATAGTTAGTAGAGGAGAAAGGTTAGGAAAGGGGGCAAATATCAAAGACAAAAAAGTTGAAAACAACGGTGCTGTAGTTTATGTTGGAAGCTCCCTGACAGTGCAGAATCCTTTGTTCTTTTGTTCACAAATTGTGACTGAATAGATTAATGCGACGTTTCTGTTGGTCAGTAAGTTCAAAATGATAGGAATGTTATTGAATGTTGTGCACAGTCAGGTCCAAAAAAGCTGAAAAAAACATATAACAACGGAGTCTAACGGGTTTCATAACCATTCCGGCACTTAACTATGCTGAGAATAAGAAGGGTCAACGTAGGGCAAGTCTAGTAGCGTCTTCCTGTTCCGGTGGGGAAGTACTATTCTATGGCCTATATAGTGAGGTTCTGTCCGAAAGGGGTACCTTTGACATTCGTGATGAGTTAAAGAAAATGAAAACTGGTAGAGAAATTTGTCATTTGTTTATTTATTTTCAAAAAGAAGCCTTTTCAAAATGTTTCGAACCGACGAACCTTATGGCCATAAATGGCTGTATTCTTTCAAAGTTATTAACGAACATAGCTTGGCAAGAATACTTACTGTTACTGCCAAAAACAACAATGAAGATTTGAGCACTAGATATGTGAAAGGGTGGGTATTTGAAGGGTGTACCTTTTCCGTCAAAAATGGTATATAACAGTGTAAAAAGTAAAAAATTGGGGCCAACCCTTCCCGTATAAAGCGTTGTTGAGCAACCCCAGGTTCATGTTTTGTGGTCTTCTCGTTAGAGCATTCAATGAAGGGCGCCCTGATTCCTTCCCTGGCGCTCACCAGACTCCCGTTTCTGCACGCGTATTCAACCGTTTTATTCCCAAAAGAAGTCAAAAAGTCAAAATTAAACAAAAGTTTGAAACTTTAATTTGAAAAAGCTCTGAAAAGACAACGAGCAACAGCTAGAAACGTGTAAAAGTGCTACTAAAGACGTTTCATTCGAATTGTCACACTATAATAGTTCACCTAGAGTTCATCCACAGACTAACTCAAATTCAAAACTTAGAAACACTTAGACCCTATTATTAACTCTCCGCGGAGAGTGAAAGGGTCGGTTATTTAAACGAAGTTTAACTTAGGCCGCGGTTTAAGAAATCATTGGACCTTCAAATCTCTTTCTTATATAGTGGTGTAATGTAAGTAAATCAGTGCGTTTCCAGTGTACGCTATATGCTTTATTGAAATTGTTTATGTAGACTGCGTGGCAGGCGCGTGGAAGTAGTGGGCACAAGAAAAACCTCTCGCGTGTCTCCCTCGCGCGCGCGCTTGTTCTCTCTTTCGCCCACTACTTCTAAGCGACTGCTACGCAGGCTATTGTTTACGATAAATGATGTATAGATAAAAAGCATTGGGAAAACTAAAAATGGCTTAGAACTGCAAAATGGCTTTGTTAAGCACGGCTAAACTACTTGCCCAACGGGTTTACTACTAGAGGTGACCGAAAGATGCAGGTTTGTTTTAAAAATATGTAAATTGGAAGAAAAGCGTGTGATACTCTTTTGTGGGACGTAGTTCCGGAGGATATTTTTTTCTTATCGCTATTAGATATTTTGAGAACGGACCTCTGGAGTCAGGGTACTTGATACAAGTTTCACTGGAGTAGGAAAACTGAGGGGGCGTGAGTCACCCTTAGGGTCGAACGGGGCACCAATGTTCCTGTTTTCATGTTTTGACACTCCCTTCGTTGGCGGAATAACTCCTTAATCCTTTTTGAGTGCAACTGGCATATTTACTTTTGCCAAAATTTCATTGAGATTTGAGGTACAGGGAAATGCTTTATGGAAGTCCTAGCCTAAAGCGGACGTCCTGTGTTGCGGGAGCACGACGAAACATCCAAACATATTGTGGAGTTTCCGCTGAAAGGCAGGCTTCGCTGTCTGTGTTCTTAAAAAGGGATAAATAACCAAAGCTCTGATTCACCGTCACGTATTTTTAGAATTTTTTCCGATGATGATTTACTGGGGACACATGAGTTGTTTTGAAGAGGGCATGCCGTTGGACCATAACCAAAGGCTCCATGTGAAACCACACATTACAACAATACTGTTTTGCGAAGGTGTCCAGACGCTTTCCAAGGCCCCAATGCTCAAGGGGGATATAAAAGTGACCGGGATGCTCGTCAAAAAAATGAAAATTAAACCCTAAGGGAGACCAACCAATGAGGGTGTACTGAGCCCTAAAGGAGAACCTAAAATAGATCGACATTACAGTATTTTTTGTAAATTTCTTTATGCACGTCACAGCCCTAAGCGATATCTGAATGAGCAAATTGACTTTCCATTCCAAACACTCAAAGTGAGACCAAAATCTGCAATTTACACCCCTTGGCGAGACGATGAGGACTAGCATCCGCGTGACTTTTTTATAGGAGTCCCACCCATGCAGGGTTTGCGGATTGGTGATTTTTTGTGTTTTGCGGGAACTAATTTTTGCGATTTGGACAAATTGGTTTTTCTTGCTGGGAATTAATTTTTGAGATTTTCTGAAAGTGCCCAGTACTACGGTGTGCGTACCCTATGTAAAACCAGTATTTCGTTGTATACCACTTTGTTTCTGAACGGAAGACACAAGTTGTAATTGAACAGACACGATTTCTTAGACTGTAATTTTTGTATTGTGAACTGATTTACATTAGAGAATATTCACTCTGGAGTAAATTTTTTGGGAAAAATGTTCGCGGTAATTTTCATTTGAAGCAACTTTTTTTGCGGATCGCTGGAAAAATCGAAAAAATTAGAAGCCGCAAAAATTTCGTGCCACACGGTAGCTGAAAAATTGCCAAAATTGTTTCAGGACAGAATTAACGGGGCTTTTTTTTGTTTTGTTCCATTGTTGTTGTTGTTGTTGTTAATCGATAGCTGGGATTTGAGATCTAAGAAAATTAACTGATAGATGAGAAATGGGCTAAAATTTCAAATGACTCAAGAAATACCGAAACTTTTACTGACAAACTTCGAAACTCTTGCTTTGTAACTGGCAGGAGTACCACCTGTTAAAGTAAAATTCAAGAAAGAAATCTCAGTGCCTATTTTTTTTTTTTGGAAAAAAAAATTCAAATTCAACGTTTGCTGTTAATTATGCTTCTGTTATATCAGGTGCGTGTGTGAAACTCAGTTTACTGAGAAATTGCTTTCAAACAGTTCAGCCTGGTATAAGATCATTACAAGGGCTAAAAGTACGTGCAATTCGATGATCATATGAAGATATATAGTTTGTTTGCCATAGAATTCATTTAGCTTCAATACACTTCTTTGAAGTTATTCTTGCAAGTCCTTAGTGGAGCCCTGCTTTAAATAATAGAGTTTAACTTTTTATCTTGAATATCGTGAATGGGCAAAGGTCATTCGCATGGAATACGGCATCTTGTTTCTGAGCACGTTTCTAAAATGTTGCAGCAATACGATAGATATCTACCTGTCAGGATATGTATTATTTCGACCCAGCGATCGACTGATCCGGCTTAACTTCGGCAATCCGGCTGAAGTTGAAAGACATTTGTCATATTTGTTCTGACTTGTCTCATGACAAATATGACAAATGGGAAATATGGCACTGAAATACCTCTCACGAACCGGTAGCGAATACCTGGCCCATCGAGCTTGGAGTGGATCCATAAATGTCTAACAACCAAAAAAAGGCAAGTCCTATCCTACAGAAAAAAAATCCATTGCTCTAAAACGTTGTAAACTGTTGAATCTGGTTTTTAAGAAATGAAATAGCTAGATCTTCCTTAGCTGTTGCAAACTTGAACAAATTTGGTTTTAGATGGATAAGATCATAGGCGAAGTACCCTCAAGAGCCGTGGTTAAAAATCGGCGGTTTTTATTTACTTCAGAAGGAACCAAATTTTTTAGCATTGCACACAGTCCTTCAGTAGGAAAAATTTCAGCTCTCGGCAATACTTGCTGACAAAATTCTCTAGTTTGTTGGGTTCTACGTCACTTGCTCCTTGGTCTTAAAATAGTCTCTGGAATCATAGTAGATAGCGATCTGATATATTCTTTAATCACCATAGCAACGCCGGGAAAAGAGACAGGCGCGGTCACAAGGCAGTTTAATAAGTGGACCCGCGACAAGACAAAAACCTTATCGTTTCTATTGTTAGTAATCTGACAATCTTTGTCTGCTCATCACGAAAAAATAAAAAAAGAAACTTCCATGCTGGACGAGTCATAGAACGGCGGGGTTAAGAAGCTGTTAAATATTGTCATTGAATTTATCATCATCTTTATTCCTCTCCCCGTGAAAACACTGACGTCACGTACGAACGTTTTTACCTACCGGTACTTACGTGAGCATAACTCATTTGCAATGCATGACTTCCAATCACAAGAATGCGCAATAAACAAAGTGGCAGAAAGGCCAAAAGCATTAATTTCAACTCACTAAAGCGACGCGACGCTTAACTCTGAGTGCGAGCGTTGCTTGTGGAAAGCAAAGGAAGTCGAAATTGTTTTCTAAACGTGACTTTGTTCTTTAATTCTGCAGGAAAGGGTCTCACTGCCACCAACCCGACAGGATAGGTAAGCACAATGAGTTACTTGACTAAAAGAATTTGAATTTTAAGTCACGCATCAAAGTCATAAACTGTCTTCTTCTATATGATATTGCTTTGAAACGCTCACTTGTTTGGAAACGTTCATTTGTTTGCTCGCATTGAAGGGACTTCTGTTTCTTCTAATTTAACCATGAGGTCTACACTTTTTTGTTTGAATTTATTAGCGACTTGTTGAGTTGCGTTTCTCTGTTTACACCTGGCATGGTTATATTTACAAAGGTTTTATCGCTTTCCAGACTGTTCAGTATTGTTTGTTGTTAAGTAGAAATTTGCGCACTTGCCTCGATAACAAAGCTTTTGAAAATGACCGCGCGCCATTTCAGTTACGACTTCTCATGAAAAGTAATAAAATTGACAATTTCTTTTTGACGTTTTTCTTCAGCTCAAGATTAACTGGCATGATGCTTTCATTAAAATATTGTTTGTTGGGCAGAAGAGTGATGAAAATTAGACTTAAATTTGCGACTCCAAGGGAGGCCAAAAAGCGGCACGTCTTCTGTCGCCCTTGTTTTTCCGTTCGAATCTGTAAAATCCTGCGTGGGTGCTTAGAGAAAAAAAATTAAAACAACTCGATCTTTCTTACGTTATTTTATTACTTTTGAGATTCCAACGCCTACGATGCAGGGGAGGTGTAGGGTATTTTGGAACATTCGGCCCAAGTGACGTATTTATTGCTCAATAAATATACATATTAATCTTTGAGCCGTTTAATTGATATTCGCGTTGTTAACCTGAAAATATCGACTTTGTAATCCAACCATAGATATTAGCCTGAACACAATCAAGAACAATGGGTTTAAAAAATAGAAAAAGAAAACAAACAGCTAACTTTTAAAATGAAAAGCTGTGAATCAGTTGGGAAAGATGGAGTACTTTTATCTTCAAACGCCAGCTGCTTTAAATTAATTTTTTGTATTTAACTTATACTTTTTATGCATATATATCATGTTTATTACATGGACCAAACTTGTTAGACCCCAAAACAAACAGGATATGATTATGATCACTAAGATGGGTTAGAGAACTTAAAAAACTACGTCCCTGTACTGGACAAGGTAGAAAAATATGGCAAAGTGCTGGTAGAGATCCTCAAAGGTTCCCTGTTTTATACAACCTAGAAACATATTTATATTTATATAATTATCTATTTTTAAAAGCACGTGTGCCCGGCGGGCTTTTCCAGAGTAACGGACTCTAAGGAAGACAAAAATCCCGACAGAATTTGCGGTGTTGGAAAGAATGGAAGGTCTTAAAGAGCCTTAAAGAATACAATATCTTTAGAATATTTGATTCTAAACGCGCTTTTTTATCCTACAACTATTATGAACACATGGCGATTAAGTGTGTTGTAGTAAAATTCTTGCAATTAGATGCTCTTATTTTGTGGCGGGAGAATGAAGAGCGATAGCGTAAATATATATTTACTCTATACGTATAAAATGTTCTCTGCAAACTGTATCTTTCATAAATAGCAAAACGTTTCCGTAGTCTTTTCTTGTTCTTTATCTTGCGAAACTGTGCCATAGGTAACTCAAAGTTTCAAAATTGACGGTTTTTGCAGAGTAAAAAAAAAAAAGAATATATATGATAAATTACAATTATTTTCATGTATATTATTCACGAGCCACCTCAAATGTCTGGTAATTACTTAGGTAACCTCGCATGAAACTATCTGTTTTTGAAGAAGTGAGTGGTTTTTTTTTTGAAGATGTGTGTTTACAAAAGGTCGTAATTTTGCGAGTCTTTGCGAGACTGGTATAAAAAAAAAACCGGCTCGCGCTCACGTGTTTGCAACGAGGTGAATATTGATATACCTTTACACTGGTCTGGTTGTTTCTTTCTATTAATTCAATGCTCGTACGGCATAACGGTATATATTAAGCTTAAAGTATGGTTTCTGGTGTGCTAGCTTATTTGAACAGCAAAGTTTGAATACAATGAGCTCAAAAATAGACCAATAATAAGAAAGGCCTATCATTTTTTAAACTTCTTATAAAAGTGTCTGTTCATTTTGGATCTGTTACTATATCACTATCTCTAGAGTATTGAGCCTTACGAAATCATCCCTGTGAAAACTACGCCCTCCGTTGGACATTGGGAAATGTTGAGATGGCAGTGTTCCGACCAAACGGGGCTCTTGGAAACATTTACGATCGTGTTTATTTCATTTCGGTCTACTTTAAGCAACTCGCATGACAATGAAGTAAACATAAGCATATTTATCAAAGAATTCTTCAACAAACACTTGAATTGAAAGATATGAGCTTGGTTCATTAAAATACCACTTTAATACCAAAGGGATTATTCATAGTTTTCACCGTTTTAATTTCTTGCCTAAAAATACGGAAAAAATTAATAAATCTACTTGTCAACCAATTTGACGTCCGTGAAGCAATAATTGAATGTTTCCTGTTCTTCAGTTTCTCTTAGAAACACACCTAGGTTCAGTAAATTAGTGTCGAGACCACAACACTGCTGTGATAAATAAAACAACTTGGACCATTTGTGGATAGCAGTACCTCGATAAGAAATTCCCCATTTTTAATGTTTTCAGTTAAGACAAAAAAAATCGGAGGAACTTTTTAAATTCATTTGCAAAACAATTTTTGTCCTACTCGATCTTCTTTGCAACCTGCCGGAACTTTTTTTTTTTGTTGAGAGCCGTAGCAAACAGTTTGTACTTCTTGGTTGCTTAACTTACCCAGAGTACCGAAAATGAATTGTAATTTCTCAGGTTTTTTTTATGAAAGCCTTTCATGGATGGATAGATATCACCCTCCTTCCCGCCCTTATCTGAAAATGTGTTAAAATTTCACAGATCTGTCTTCTAGAGCCCTAAGTTTTGTATAGCATTGCCCTCAGAGTTCTTTAACCATTAAATAAATATTATTCAAATGGCTGGCAATGCTCCCGGCCTCCTCTCTCTGAATTTTCTGGATTTTAACCCTTGCCTTTAACGGAAACTCCAAGCAGAAAAACCATGAACTTATGCAATATGAATAAGCACCTGTGAAAAATATAACATCAAGGGGTATCCATCGTGACAAATATGAAAGGAAAATATTTGTTTCACTTTGACAACGTTTGGAAATGTGTAGAATTATAATTGGCATTAATTAGGTAAAGAATTTTTAGTGCCGATAAAGTATTTTAATACAACCTTGAAAAACATATTGCCTATTGTCGATATGACAGAATCGAAAGTGAAATTTGACAAGAATTTTTGCTTTGTGTTTTTGACACGTTTTCTCTAAACTGTTAACAAATTACTTATGTACGAATGCACCTGTGCAATTAACTCTCACACTGAAGACCTGTATCACTTATCTTCCCGTGCAGGCGAAAAGAGCGGACTCTATCGATGGCTATTGAAAGCGTTTCACTTTTCGCCATCAATATTGAACTTGCTTTCCAGTTGCTCTATAACCCATTTGTGCATGAAATTCAGCGTGATGTAAGAGAGCTTAAGCATCGCGTTTACGGCAAACGTGAGATTTAAGTTGACAAATTTTCAAAATGAGAAATGAGCAGATAAAAACAGCCCAAAACAATTGTTATGGATAAAATTGGCGTGAATCTACCGACTTTCGTGTAGTCATAATGGAACAGTAAACGATAAGATGGAAAACTTGGTCACGTGATACAAATTCACGTTCGCCGTTCGGCAGTAAACGCGATGCTTAATCTCTGTTCTTTAAAATGCCATTTTAAAGCTACAAGCTCAGTTAACATACCTACAATTTCTTTTCACCATTTTAGCCGTAGACATTGAGAGGAAACGATGACCAACAGAAGAACTTATACCCATTATTCTCCACCCTCCACGCCGTTTTCGTTCACACATGACATGTTGCTGACTTATTTGTACAGAAGAAATGAATCAAATGGCCCAAGTGCGCTGAGAAAAACAGGCGACAAGTCTGTAAAAAGAGGTAACATTAGAACTATCTTTAAGCCGTCTCCTTTCCTTAGAGAGGTAAATTTATAGCCTGTGTAGTATGCGCTTTAGACTGGGAACAAGGTAAGCGGTCCATGCTAGGGACATGAGGAGAAGAATACGTTCGAGCTTGATTTGTGCCCTGTATTTCTCATGTAGTTGCTACATAGTCCAGTGCAGACGTAACCCTTTTAACCCTAATATCAAAATTCAGATTCCCTTTTGTTATCCATATACGTTTTCTATAGAAGTACTCGGGATAAGCTGTAAAAATATCAATTAAATTCATCTCGAGTGATCATTTCCTCAATTCTTGTCACCGTTCGGTTATATAAGGCGGGAGAAGTTTGATGCTGATCACCCTTAGGGCTTAAAGGCCTAACAGCTCACCTGTTACAGTCAAATCTCGTTAATACGGACACTAAAGGGACCATAGAAAGTGTCCGTATTAACGGGGGTTATGTTATTAAAGCCAAAAAACACCTTTAATTAAAACAAAAAACCTAAAGAAATAAAAGAGGACATAAACATCGTCAAGTTAAACATTTCTAGCCTTAAAAAGCCGTCATTCCGCGGACTAAATCCACGAAAGACCCCCAAAACGCTCATCTGTACATTTTTTAATCAAAACTGTGCAGTCTCTGCATAACTCGTTTGATGCCAAAATAGTTTGAAATTGATGTCTACAAATCATCGTATGCGGTGTACTGTAGCGTTGAGAACATCGACACGCTGTCAATTGAAGGCTTTTTACCTTCAGAAAGTAAAAGTCTATTACAGCAAGAAGCACATAATGAATTGTCTTCATTAACGAGGTTGACTTTCTATGAGAATCTGTTGATTGGGCAAGAAACTAGTGTCCGTTGTACGCATTAACGAGTGTCCGTATTAAGTCGGTTGAATTTAGAGAAAATGTATGGGCTTTTCCAGGGACAAATAATACTGTCCGTAATAAGGAGGTGTCTGTATTAAGCGGGTGTCCCGTAAAGCGGGGTTCGACTGTATGTTCAAAACAAAAGGGGGACAGTTCTTTTTCTGATGGTTTCATTCAAAGACTAGCCTGCGAAAACATCCGTTTCTCCGCGCTCTTCGCCGCGAAACGTCGCCAGCGGCGAAGAGCGAGGAGAAACGGATGTTTTCGCAGGCTATTCAAAGACTCAAAAGATAATAACCGTGTCATACAAAAGGAACAGCTAGCGTGAAGGAGACTGGTGATAAACTCGAAATTCAGACATTCTAAGTCAAAGACCTTAACCATGTCGCTAGCTGGAATTCTTTCTCGGCAGACTCAAGAGAGTGTAGCTCATTCCCACTTGGTAGACTTGGTAGAAGTCAATCCCAGAAAAGAGGCAAGGGAGCTGGTTTGCCATTATCTGAAAGCTTGGAACAGCCTTAGCATGTTACAATGATTTTTTGTTTAACTTCTTAGTCCCCTGCAGTTTAGAAAAATATCAACACTGGTGCCTGTCCAACCTGACCCCTGGGAGTTATTTTAAGGGATGGTAGGCACCGCCCCTGGTCCCTAGGACTTTTCAGCCCGGGAACGAGGTTAGCATCTCTTATCCCTAAAAATGATTCCTAAAACACTTCTTTTAACAGGTTTAATTTCGTCCTCTTTAAATGCCTCGGAAAAGGCTGAGAATAGGCTTAGCAACGCCGAGAAATCCTGTCCAGATGAATTAGAGCTTTGTCCCTCACTTACGTCGTGTTTGACGTACGGAGTACGCACGAAACAGGTTATACCAGAGGGAACGTGGATGGGCCCGTATCAAGGAACAATTGTGACGCCTAATGACGTTACAGGCGATATGGATACGTCATATATGTGGGAGGTAAGATACGCACAACTTGTTTGTTATTGTGTACAAGTTTTCAATATTAACTATCATCACATCCAGGAGAGCGCTTACTAGGATCTTTTTACTCGTACTATAAGGATGTAACTGTACGTGTGCCGATAACAGTACTTGAGTATTGATCTCGGATATCAATATCAATGCTGCACAAAAGTCGCCTTTTGAAAGCATCAACAAACGGTATATCAAATGCTGTCCTTGCGAGTGCATTGTAACTTGAAAGCTGCATTGGATGAGTGGTTAGGACACAGATTACTTCCTTTGAAATCCAGGGATCAATTGTTTACGGACTTTACGTTTTATGCCAATGACCCTATGGGAACCCATCACTTACTTTCTTACTTTCTCCCACATTTATGCACAACCTGGTTCGGAGGCCCGTGAGGCAACAGTTCAAACAAGGGATCTTGAAACTTAAAGCAACTGAAAATAGCTCCGCCTGAAATGACCCCATTCTAGTTTGATGCCCATTTCTTGAATGTCGTCACAACTTTTCGTGGTCCTCCTTGATGGAATTTCATTAGCTAGAAGCAGCGGTACAGGTCGGTTTTACTCCGAATATAGGGCAGCTTTTAGTTTTTGAGCGCAGCTGCCGACACAAATAAAACTCGAAACGTTAATGCAAACAATGCGCCTATAATACCTTTCATGTCATGCAAAGTTACCGAGACTGCAGGGCAGCACCTAGAAGGACTGGTAATGAGATTATCTCGCCTCCTGCTCATAATAGTGAGTTCACGCAACAGGACGGCAAAACGCTTGTAGCTAATATAAAAGTTAAGAGTGCAACCACTGCTTTTTTTTCTCTCCCTCTTTCCATTTCTCCTTTCCTTTCCCTTTGCCAGTGAGTGTGATTTTTGAGCTTTTCGGGAGCAAAAAAACCGCCTTTAGCCCCTTTTCTTTCAAAAGGCTATAAATCTCGCAGTGTTCGTTTTCGAAAGATCGGTTAGATATAATGTATGATCAGATTTTTGCCTTACTTTTGTAGATTTATGAAAACGATAAATTACTGCATTATATTGACGGCAATGACGAGAATAATTCCAGTTGGATGCGTTTTATTTGCTGTGCGCGACACAGGGGTGAACAGAATCTTTACGCTTTTCAATACAACAAAGAAATTTACTACAGAGCATTCGCTACCATCCCTGCTGGAGAAGAACTTTTGGTGTGGTACGAAGATACTTATCCACAGTACATGGGAATACCTCTGAATATTACAGACATTGGCAGGCAACTGGATCACAGTGCAAGTAAGGGATCTAGCAAGTGTACAATTAAAGCACTCATTTCTATAGCCTGTTTTTAGTTTAACTATTTTAATTAAATGTCGATATGTGAAGCAAAAAATTAGGGATGCACTCGCTGTAAGCATTCGCATGACTGTATTCCTTCCGGAAAATATGTCCGTCGTTCTTCACAAAGAGCCTACGTGATACACTCCCTTTCCCACCGATCGGAACACCTTAAAGATGCTTCGTCACGATTTTAAGTATTATTTTAAAACCCTTAATTAATATGATGGTTCAGTTTTATTTAAAATTGCCCTACTACTATATGTTAACTATACGTGTATGACTTTGGGTTCTGATGGCCAGGATGAAAACGGATTGCAAATTGAAAGAAAAAACCTCATCATGAAATAGCCCCCGAGGCCTTTCCGAGGAAAACGCAATGATAAATTCGCCCTATGTAAGGCAATCCAGAGTCCGTAAAGGGAGGAACATTTGCTTGTGGAATCCGGAATCCGGGATATTTTTTCTTGTGGAATCCAGGATCATGAGCTTTGGAATCTGGAATACAGCTCAAGGAATCCCGAATCCCACTGATTCTGCGAGCAAAAAGTTATTGGATTTCGGATTCCGGATTACCTTACACGGGGCAATTAAAAGGAAATTAACAGACCAGTATCGTCCCCAGTCGTCTCCAAGTTGTCTCTACTCATTAATTAGGCCGATTTAGCAACAGGACGGGAACGTCAGTTAACGACGGAAAGCCGCGCGGAAAAGATTAAACACGACTTCCGGTGCCCGATTTGCCGCTCTGCTATTGGTCAAGCCACTTGTTTGCTCTGCGCGCGCTGTCGTCAACTGACGTTCCCGTTCGGTTGCTAAATCAGCCTATTAATTACTAGGGAGGTGCTTGGGTGAGCCCGTTCTAGTCTTCCACCCCAAATACTAATAATGAGAGACGACTGGGGACGAGTCAGTACCAGTATGAAGTTTCTGTTCTTCCATGTTCACCCTTAATTACTATATGCAATGGATATATGACTAGATGTCTTTGATTTTTTGTTTTTTCTTTCCTCAGATTGTCCTCATCATCCTGATGCAGTCTCTCGAGTTGATTCAGCGCAACATTTCAATTCAGATTGCAATTGGCGAAATCAGGAGGCACCTAGATTGCCGCAAAAACCTGTTGCTTCAGACAGTTTAAACTCAACAGTTTTCGCGCCACCTTTGAGGCCTGTTCACTACCGCACTCCTACCTTTTTCACCTCTGATGAGTATCAAATTGCGCATGTGCGAAGGGAAAAGACTTTTAATTTGAGGGATCAGTATGGACAGCTAGTGCCAACCTCTAGGCGGAGAGCTATTGTGATTCAAAAGACTGACGATGCACCGGATCCCTTTTGCGTATTAACTAGGGAGAAGTAAAGACCACAGCTTACAACCTCGCCCCCGAAAGAGCAATGGGAACGAGGTTGCATCGCATACTACTACGCTAAAGGACACGGGGCAAACATATAAAGGAGGAATACCGGATCTTCTTTGTGATTTTTCAACGGAATTGCGCAAACTGAAAGGATTTTCTTGGGTTCTCTTCTGTTTAAAGGCAAGAGCCCCCACCCTTGCCCGAGCGCCCACTTTTCAGTTATGAGGCAGATCTAGCTAAGACAACGTAACATCAAAGAGAACGCTAAATTGCGCGGAAAAAGACTGAACACAACTTCCGTTTCCTGACTCTTCCCCAGTCATCTCTCATTATTAGTATTTGGCGTGGAAGACTAGAACGGGCTCTTTCTGACTGAGAAGAGACAAGTTGGAGATGACTGGGGACGAGTCAGTTCCGTTTCTCAAATTGCCGCTCTGCCAAAGGCCAATCAGGATTTTAGATCGGCGCACGCCGTCAAACGTTGTCTTTGCTAAATCTACTCATTGCCTGATTCTCAGCGTGCTAGGCTGAAGACTATTTATTAGATTCATCCTTCGCGGCAAAAAACTATCACTCCGCTATAGAGCAGAGTATGTATTTAGAAATGGTGGATAATAGCTAATGAGTGTAACTCGCAGTGTAAAGCGAAGACAGTTGAACTGGTAGAAAAAAACTTGGAAGTAAGGATAAAAAAGAGTTTTTATGTAGAAGATCAAACACCATTTCTAACCGGAGCGAACAGTGCGAGAAAGAAATCTAGACTGAAAGTCTGACGCGATAATGAGATACTTTTTAGTAGCCGAAGTTTTAGGGAACCTCGTTCCCAGTGTGACAGGGTCTCTTACCCACGCTTCAGGGAAAGGGAAGAAGAGCTAGAGACCTTGGGGCCTGGGGGCGAGAATGAGTTAAGGGCTCCTGTGTTAAGTCCATAGAATTTTCGCAAAGCTATCAAAACTCGAGCTCTATCGCAAACAACATAGTCTTACAGGCAACAACAACTTTAAATCCGCTTTTTAGTTTGTAATATCTTGACAACAGTACCGGTTTTCGAGTAAAAGCAGCGGTGGCACAAGTTTATAACCTAGTGACAAAGTGTAGCGCAAAAGTGCATGCTTCTTTACGATCTCGTTTCCAGAGCCTTTCCTGAGAATGAGATTACTTTTATAGTAATCTACAACCCTTAAAGTTGGGTGGCAGGTTTAGGGGTAAGAGGATTTTGCAAGAATAATCTTTCTGTACATTCATTTCGTTGTAAATATAGTTGTATACCTTTTCTTTGTTTTTACTGTGTGAAATCACGGATATTTTTGTGAACATGAAGTGTTAAAAGCGCCTCGTCCAGTATTTGGTGTTTTTGAGGGGTATGATTACAGCCTAAACGACAATGCGCAAAAACCGCTAAACATGCGCACCAGAACCACCGATTATGTTCCCGCAAAACTGGCCATTCTTCCTCATTATTCGCTAGCCAATCAGCGGTTTTTGCACTCTCTCATTCTGATTGGTGAGCGTCAGTTTCGCCTGGGCATACTTGGTTAGGTTACGTCACGTTCTTTTTTTAAAACTAAAACGAAGTGTCTTCGCATCAATTGACTTCAAAAATTATGGACACATTTTGTTTTATTTAAGGCTGCAGTATTTAGGCATTGAGATTGTTTCCTGCCGTCTGTTGCTACGGATGATAAGGATGGACCTAGGTTTTAAAAACTTGAAAAAATTGGTCCAACTTTTGTGTATGGGTAAAGTCAAAGTCATGGAGGGTCGAAATATTTCTCCAGCGTTTCAACTTGTTCAAGAAATCCTATAGTCATTAGTTGGGGGTTGACCGCATTTTAAAATGATAATATTTGTCTTGCAATATTTTTTAAAATGATATTCAGTTTTCTTTTTGAATTTTGATTCCTGACACCATTGAATAGTTTACGCGATTCACACCTACAACTGATGATTGCTCGGCACGCCGCGAAGCCACCCAAAGGTTTCCCTTGATCAGATTTCGATTGTAGTTTTATTAAAATCTTCTTGAACAGCCTAAGACAGCCTAATACTGAGGAAAGAGGATCGAGGAAGAGGAAACACGTGAGTATTTAAACAGCGCAAAGAATCTTGGGAAGCGAAGAAAGAAAAATAGCGACTGGTAGATATTCTAATCGTATAAGGGCAAAATTGTGCAATTAACGGCCCCTTTTTTCGTAGGTGCGGGGAGGTGAGAGTGCGGATGACCTGAGGTCGCCTAAGAGCCCGTTTTTTGGACGTTACCCGCTTAGGTGGGGTAGCCTGCCTGTCCATTGAATTTGACCACGTTAACATGATAGGTAGGGTGACACCTCTCCTACCTGGGCCCCCCACCTCCATGTTAACAGGCCCTAATTCTGAGGAAAGATTGGACACGTGTTTGCACGGTATCATGGGAAGCGAAGAAAGAAAATAGCGACTCGTAGATATTCTTATCATATGGAGGCAAATTACCTAGAAGCAGTCGTGCTCTTTTAGGTTTCGGCACCTTTCATCCATGTACCGAACATTTTATGGTGTTCCGTACTCCGACCTCTACTCCCGATCTGGTATGAAAATATATTTTACAACAACTGAGCGATTTCTCGCGCGCTGATTGGTCGAGAGCTGCATGTAGTTGACAAGAGTACAGACCATAGAAATGAGGTGATATCGCGCAATTCGATTTTCTCTTTCATGTGCGCGCAATTTTTCATAAAACTTAACGGAAATGAACGTCACAAATTGTAGATGTTATTGTAAAAACCTAATCGACAACAATTTTCCATGGTCTATACCATTTTTTACAACAACTGAACGATTTTTGCGCGATGATTGGTCGATAGCTATCTTCGATAAGAGTTTATACAATGATGTGAATGCTACGCGCGCTGTGATTGGTCGTTGCTCATGTTCCATTAGAGTACAGATACATGGATAACGTCAAGGGAAACTCGTTTTCTTTGTTTTGCTCAATTGAAAATGTTTGGGAGATTATTTCGGATTGAAGGCCTCGAAAAAGTTTAGCAGGAGCTATTTACAAAGAAGAAAAATAAAGAAACGGAAACAAAAGAGTTCTTGACAACTTGATTATGCTTAAACTGCAAGAAATCTCTACAACAGTTGCGGTCGTGTGTCATCGTTAAAAGAGGCTTGCTGTTTTGGAAAATGTTCTTGCCATTACCGAACTGACGCACGGCAACATGGAATCTATTTGTTAAACAGACCATGGAAATGAGGTGATGGTGGCGCAATTTGTTTTTCTCCTTCTCGAGAGCGATTTTCCGAGAAACTTCAGCAGAAATGAAAGTTAAAATAGCCTTCGAAAACATCCGTTTCTCCTCGCTCTTCGCCGCCGGGGACGCTCCGCGCGAAACGTTCCCATAGACGAATAGCGAGGAGAAACGGATGTTTTCGCAGGCTAACGTCAAAACTGTCAGCGGTATTTTAAAAAACAAATCTATAACAATTTTTCGTGGTCTGTACTTTCATCAACCATAGAAACTTGAGTTTTGAACATTTTGACGTCATATGTATGGTCGATAAGAGTACAGACCATAAAAAATTGTTGTGGAAAACTGAAAAACTGGAGATATAGAAAAATGGAAATACTGACTGCTTTTTCGGTCTACAACTGGGCACGAAACAGATGATTACCCACTCTTAATTCCATCGATAATAATACAGATCTAAGACTTTCCAGGAAAAAATGCAATGCAGGATTGTTGGTACATTTTGGAAAAAGAACTTAATTGGCTTCTAAGAATGTGCCCATTTAAGTTGATAAAATTTTTGTGGTAAAATTTTTATCCCGAGCCGAAGCCATTGTAACTATATCCGGGGTTTATGCAGAAGAAAGCGGGATGTATTCAATAAATTAAGAAAGCCAGATGATCATTGTGCCTCTAAACAGATTAAGTTCTCCTTCTCTCTTAGCCATTGCAATCAGATATAAAAGTCATTAAAGTGGTGTTTATCGACAATCTATCTAGGGGAAATTCCTGTGCAGAAACACAGGTCCTAGCTATCGTTTGAACATTTAACATCGCGATTGGTATAATCTGTCTTTAGACATTCACCTGGTACTCTCTGGTGCCTCGCTAAATGGCTAGCTTGTGAAAATGTCTTGTTACATTTGTCACAATTGAAGGGTTTTTCACCCGTGTGTGTGCGTATGTGATTGTTTAACGTTGTCGCGCCTGAAAAAGCGCGGGAACAGAAACCACATTTGTACAGCTTGTCATTAGTATGCAAATCCACGTGACTTCTCAGCGCAGATGGAGTAGCGAATGAAAAAGTGCATTGTCCACACTGATAGGGTTTCTCTGGAGCCTTGGAGCACTCATGCATTTGAAGCGACACCCGCTGTGTAAATGTCTTTAAGCACTGCCGGCATCGCCACATACCGAATTCCTCTGATGGTATCCCAGATGCATCAATTCGCTCAGCGTTGAAGTGGTTTATTCTTTGAAGAGGAGGAGTCTTCGGTAAATACGGATGTAGAGTTGGCATTGTCCGCTCAAAGTTATGCTCCCGCTTGAATGCTGGTCCTTCACTTGTGCGCGGAGACACTTGTTGGTCATCTGGAAAAGTCATGGTATGGTTTTTATTTAGCGTTCTATAATATCAGGTAACTCTACAAAATAAAAACTAAAGTTTCGAAAACCACGTTTTTACAGTTCTTTTTTTGTACACCAGTCATCAGGCTTTTAACCTCTTTTTGGAGTTAGAAAAAGTATTTTTCGCCACGATCATTGGCTTAATCTTAAGCTGTGGCTTTATAACTATGGTAGTTCATCAATTTTGGGCTCGTCACTTTGGAAAACCTATGTAAGACGCTTCAGTTCGTTAAAAAGAAAAAATAATGCGTTTAGAAGTTTTTTCTTCCCAAAAACTACACCATTACACTTCAAACTTGAAAATGTTCAATAAGCCTTTTCACTTGCACAGTTGTCAAAGCTTGCCATGAGGTGCTGTTGTGATGATGACGACGTTAAAAATGACGATGAAGATGAAGTTTGGCAGTGCTAATGACAATAGCATTCTGGTGGGATGACGTTGATGTGATCCTCATTTCGTTCTCCCCTCATGTCACTTATCTACAACATACCGTCACTATAGTGTAAGTGCTTTCTTGGAATAAGTGGTGGAACGGATGAATACTCACTTTTAGTAAATGGTGGTCTCGACACCTCTGATGCGAACATCGCTCTCTGAGAAAGGGCTGTGCCATTTGGAGCAAGAGAATCTCTCATTTCAGTCATGCCATCCTGAGGTTTCAGTTGCTGTTTGTTTGATGACTGTCCCTGTGTAGAACTAATTTTTAAGCTTTCATTGCTTAATTGATCAGTTGTTGGTATTAAGTCGCTCTTCCTTGTTTGCATTTGATACATATTTTTGTTCGAGAATAGTGAGGACCCTGAAGTGGATGTCCTTATCAAGTGCTTGTCATTTGCACTAGGTGGAATCAAAAGCATCTCAGTTCCTTTGTTCCCTTCGCGAAAGGGGCCTGTAAATCCACTTCCACCTCTTATAGATGTTGAACTAAAATGCTCCTTGCCAAATGAGCTTCCCATACTGCCTATTGGGCGATTAAAGCGAGGTTTCACAGCGTGTGTCAAAGGAGCTCTGAAGCCTCCTGTATGTGGATTGTTCCTGGAATCCCTGGCACCGTATTGTTTAGGATCTTGATTAGACGAGTTTACTTGTGTAGATGACGAGCTTATCTTTTGAGAACTTCGTGGATTTAAAGACGTCACTAAAAGGAAAATAGCAAGAAAAAAGGAAACTTCATGGAACTATGTACATTGGACTTAATTTGGTACTTTCGCCGTGGCAGAGTTATAGTCCACGCACAGGTGGGCAAGGATTCATGTAATTGTTGAGTCTAGTTTTTGTATCCATACGTACGGAGACAAATGCTTTAAGTGTGACCATTTTAATAAAAAGTGCTCAGCAGTTTTTTCGTTTAGTACTTTTTATGACGACGTAAAACATAGTCTGAGGAAACGGCTGACATTTCGAGACGCCACCATTGGATACCCCGCGAAATGGCTTCTGAGAAAGGAGCTGATAAATTCTGTCTTTTATCCATATCTGGGTGGTGCTTCTGATTGTATGAAGCAAATTTTCAACCAATCAGAGGCACTGACCAGATCTGGGTAGTGATGCGTCATCAGTATGGAATTTCTGCGCTCGTTCCTCAGAAGTGATCTTTCGGGGAAACCAGTGGAGGTGTCGCGACATGTCAGCTGTTTTGTTAGGCTAAGTACAGCATGATTCTAAATTCTGAGATAGTGATAATTCAGCTTCCTACCAGATTCTCTGTAGAATTCATAATCCTGCATTCCCAAAGGAATTCCTAGGAACTGAGGGTATTTATCATCGTACCACACTAACAGCTCTCTACCCGGTGGGATTTCCTTGAATGCGCGGTAAAAGATGTTCCCGCAATATTGGAACGCATAGAGGTTTTGTTCCTTTGGGTGACGTGCACAGCGAATAAAGCGCATCCAACTCGAGTTTTCTTCATCACTTCCATCGAGAAAATGACTTAGTTTGCCGTCTTTGAAGATCTACAAGCACAAAGGCAACAACTGAGTTATATAATGACCAGGTTCCAATCTTGGATGTCGCGTTTATGTTTGAAATAGAATTTGCTTTTTCTAAGTATTTTATCATCAGACTCAGCAGCTACAACTAATTTAAATTGCATAATGAACCGCGCATTAAAAAAAATGTGATTTGTAAACAGCATTACAGCATACAAACCGTTCTTAAAAAGCACCATTGAAAGGTACTGTTCACACTAATTCGTTTGTTTGAATACGAAACTAAAGCTTGAAGGCTGTTTCCAGACTCAAAAGCTAACCTACCTGAAACATCATTATTGAAATTAAGAACACATCTGGTATTTTTAGTTGATTAACGACACTACATGAATTGGGCCACGGGTTTTTTTATGAGATCTGTTGAGATGAAGTGGGCTATAAGGTCTGTAAATCTGCATTAGTCTACTTTAGAATAAGTTGCAGACTTAGGCGTTAGATTTATAGAATCGTCCATTCTTGAGTTAATCTTCCTGCATCAGTTTTGACTAGGGGATGAAAGGTAAAGTTGCCTGGTAAATTAAGGAAGTAGTGTGCAGTGAAATCCAACTGAAAGCAAGCGCATGTTTCGAATAAATCACCAAGAGAGAATATACCTCTCTTGAAATCTGAGTGGTGTAAATTACCGCTGGTACTGGTGCACGAAACGGTTTTAAAATAGCGTATTTTGGGCCAGGAACGTGTGGAAAGATGTGCTATGTGTAGGTTCTTTCGAGGCATCTGAGAAATCAAAACTCCGACAAAACCTACCTCCCAAAGGTAAGAAGAATCTATGTCTGGCGTGTTGTGCTGAGGAGGAATTCGCCTGCCCTCATACGGACCAATCCACGTTCCCAAGGGAATGTGCTCTTTGGCACATACACCGTAGATTGCCCCTGGGAGACTTGATAAACAGAGCTGCACTTCATCGGGAAATGATCTTATAGCGTTTGTAAGCGGCGGTTCCTCCCTGCCAGGGGTAAGCTTCTGCTTCTTTGAAGTGGAAGGTTCTGAATTCAACGGTAAAGAAGTGAAAGACAAGAGATGCTTCGGTTTTCACTGATTGCGAAATTTGTTGCTATTTCCTGAGTTCCAAACTCAACCTCGTTCCCAGCTTCCTCTCCTACTCGTTCCTTACTCTCTAGCTTCGGAGGACGAGTAGCAGATGATCCTAAGAATGAAGTTGCTGCAAACCCTTCTCAGGCTGCAGAGGAGCTGCCTCCACGGTTTTTTCAACTTTTGACATGGACCAGTTAGGGAAAATCTGTCGACACCACTGAAAAGAGCCTCATAAAATTAATAAAGGTGCTAAGTTTGAAAGTGATACGTCTTCAGTGCGACGATATAGGTCCGCAAAGTTGCGAAAAGTTACAGACTTTTGTTTACAGACTCTGTGCCCCCCAAAGTTTGTGCCCCCCCCCCACCCCCCATACAAACGTCTTAAAAATTTCATGACTTTGAGGAGCTATATCTTTGTTAATTTTCAACAAATCCCTTTCAAACTTGGCAATTTTACTAATTTGAAGGCTCTCTTTCCAGCGGAGTGCAGGATTTTCCCTAACTTGTCCATGCCAAAAGTTGAAATTAAAAAAACATGGAAAGGTGTATTATACCAGGAGCTATAATTATGACCTCTTGATTATACTAAATAGTTTGGCTCAATAAACCTTAAAAGCAAGTCTTACGACGCGATTGGTGAAGTCGCAGGGGCACCCAACGTCAATTTTCGGAAAATATCTGTTCGGAAGACGATTTGAGATCTAGAATTTTCGGAACATTTTTTGTATAATTTCTTGCTTGCCTGCCTCTCCTAGGATTGTCGAACATCTAAAAAATGGTATAATTGCCCATTTTTAACGGATTTTTACCTTAAAAAGGTCACCTAGAATTTTCGGGAGCCTTTTTTCTGGCTGAAATTTTCGAAAAGGTAAGTTTTGATCCCTATAATTTTTCGATCACTCCTTTCAGCTAGGAAATCCGAACAGATGAAAAAGTTTTAGGGGATAAAAATATGCCTATATCTACCTTTTAAATACTAAAATACATTCAACAATGCTATGTTTAAGTGGTTTTGAACTATATTCTCCTTGGGTGCCCCTGAAGTCGTTAAAGACACCTTCGGCGCAATTGCAAACTAGCCGCTTGCGTTGTTAAATTCCGTCTTCCTAGTGGGGTTATCAGAGTGCCGACGAACTTGCTCGAGGGAGGCTAAAAATTTCAGTACCGCTGTAACTGTTAGATTGAAACTTATTAACGCTTCTTGAAAAATATTTGCGCTGAAATAAGGTAAGGATGGCGTAGAACATTAAATCAAGGTCATAACCTTATAAGCCAAAATAAACCCTTTAGAATGCCGGACTGATAATTATCTTAGGCAGAATCTGCGAAAGGAAACGAAAACTTTCGGTCCTTCAGAATCCTTGCAACACACCTTTTTCTAAGTGTTTAAGAGTTCTTTCCGCTCTCTGCTGAGGGTACTGACAGCTATTAAAGAGTTTTAGTAAAACTATTAAAAAGCTGTCAGATTTCTTGGTAGAGGGCCAAGTTCTTTAAGTGGGTAAACCGCTAAGATGATATTGATAATTGGCAAGGTGAATTTATTGTACTTATAAATTTGCTGAAACGTCATGATAATTCCTTGAAAATTGTAAACAACTGAGAAAGCGGAAATTTTGAGAACAATCAGGTTGTAAATAATGAATACGTAATACAAAGAGAACAAGAGAACAATAATCATGGCTATTGAATCTACACCGCGCTAATTCTTGTCTATTCATTGCAAGGATTGATTTGATTTCGCAGCAACTTGTGCAAAGAAAACAAAAATAACTCATGATGTGCGGAAAGATGTGAGGAAGATTGGACGGAGTCTAGGATTAATACGAGCGATGGAAAGTTTGAAGTGCTCCTTCACCGATACTGTATTTGCGCAATGAAAGAAGTCTTATGCTTCACGTATTGTTCAACTTTTTGTTCAAATTCCTTGTGAGCCTTCCTTTTCACTCCTTTTTAAATTGCCTGGGTAGATTTTATATCTCTAGTTGAACTCCCTCTTAACAAAGTAGGTCGCTGTCTAAGTTTTCGCTTAAGATGTTTAACTAAACGTTTGCTCTTCTGGAAACGATAAAATATCCTGGTGCATTGTACAGCTCATTAAATTATTACCTTGATGATTTTCAGCACTTCTTTTCAGCTTGTTCACATCAATAACCCTAACTTTCCTGTTTCCGTACAAGAAGAAATTGAGTGTTTCCTCGTCAAAGAGGAGGTATCCCTTTGTAGCACTGCCGCTCTCGTGTCTATGGCCTGACTTATTTTCCATGTAGCTGTGTAAAGTACCCTGAAAAAGAATGCACGTGTTCTTTCATCAAAGAACTGAGGTTGCTGCTATACGGCGTATTTAATCGAATTCCGTGCGAAATAATAATAATAATAATAATAATAAAGTGAAATAGAAACCATACTTTAGAGCAGGCGACAGAGCAGGCAAGCTTTGACTTGTGTAAGTGCATGTAATATCGACATCCACTTTACCTTCGTAGAACTAACAAGCGATGGATAACCAATCGATAATTCAATTTGTACTGCCATTTTTGGCTACCGCTTGTCAAAACCCATCTAAACTAAAACACAAATAAACTTCGTCTCATTCAGGCCAGGGACTTGGAAACAGCTAAAACTCTGAACTCTTAGAAGTTTCTAGGGGATCAAATGAAGATCTACTTGCTTGCTACTACCAAACAGAGTATTTAATTTAGTTTTATAATTATACAGACAGACCATCATCTAGCCTACTACAAAATCTATTTTCTAGGGTACCGTGGAGAGGCCTGAAAAGTTAGAAGGATTTGGGGCAACCAGAGTGATAGATGGAGCGCAGAGTATATCAGAAAAAGAACGGGCATGAATTTTGGTTTCCTGAGAGTAGCAGGGAACCGAGACGCAAAGTGCTGCAGTATACAGGCCCGGCGCAGTAACAACCGAGCCGTAACATCTCGGTTACGTGCTGAAAATAATACTTTTCGCAATTTCTCTAGTTCTAATTGTAAATCACTTTATGTTTAGCTCATTCAGTGAGCTTGAGTCAGTTTTAAGCTTATTCAGTACTACCACAGATTTCTATCTTTGGACCAAGTTGTAAATCACTGGCGGGCACTTATAACCGTAACCACTAAAATGGATTATACTAATGTCAACAGGTCTCCTACTCATAAAAAAACGAGTCATTCTCTTCCCAGATTAGCTATGCTATCAACTGTCCTAAAACTCACAATTTTATCTATAAATTCAGCAAATTAATGGGTCTTAACAAGAATTAAGTTCAATTAAATTCTTACATTAACAGAATTAAAGGTCTGTAAAAAGAATTTCACTTTTATGAATACCCGTTATTATTAAGCGTTTTTTTTAAGTAAAAGACATTATGTAATAAATTTTTTGGCTTTTTGTCTCTTTTGTAAACGGATTTTACGATCAACCACCGCACAATCGGTAGCCAGACATCGAAGGAATAAAAATTTTTCCTCCTTCGAGTAAAGATTTTAAATGTTGGAGTAGTTCCCGTTCCGGCAAATAAAAGGTTAAACCCCTGTCAGACAAGAGAGGTGTAACAGGAAAAATAATCTCTTTATTCCCTCTACGTTGCAGAAAGTAGCACATTTTAGGCGTGGATTAAGTTGTTGTTATAGGCTCAAATCGTCATGAGCATCGGAAGCTGAAACGGGAAACAAAGATCACGTCTGTCTAGATGCAAAGTGAAAAAAAATAAGCGTGCAAGATTTTTGTTCTATGTTGCTTTGCCAATATTTCTATTCTAGCCACACGCATAAATTTGTTGAAATTCTTAGGTAGCACAAAGATGATCCATTCTGCAAAGAGTTATTTCCAACGACAAACCATTTGACAGTTTTGTCCAGTTAAGATTGCATTTATTTTTTCTCCAGAGTAATTCGATAACTCACAGTCGAACTCTAAATCTTTCGTGTTGTTTTCCTTTCACTATATCGTATAATCACTAGTCAGGTTAGTATTACTTTCTTGACTGCTTAGTCATTACTCTTCAGTATATTATTATACCAACTTACCAATGGCGGGCAATCCTCTATGTTTAATTTTATAGTTCCACGTTGAGCATGAACACGATTCGACAGTAGACGTTTTCTTGGCTGTGAAAACTCCAGATACTCTCTTATTTTATTTTTACGTACAGGACATAAAAAGTATTATGCAGCACTCAAAGGTTATGAATAGTCATGCCGAAACCCATTGTCCAAAATTCCGCATTCCAGAGCAGTCCACGTGACCTATGATGGCGGTGTCTGAAGTAAAACAGCAGTCGGCATGTTTACTATTTCAATGGGTCAGATATACAACCAGTTTTGCAACGAAAGATGAAGAAAATCAGCTTTTGACCACTTCGAAATACACAAGTGACATTTTTGATCGAATACTTTAAAAGGAGCCTTGGCGAGATGACGAAGCAAGATGACCCATAGCATGACGAAGCTCCACTTAAGAATATGCAAAATAGATCCAATTACGTGAAAGCAAGTATTAGTTCTCCACCAAAATATAGTTGATGAACTCGCCGGTAGAGGAATACAAGACATACATCTGTTTGTTTACTTGGAAACTTAGTTACCCTGTGGATTTTTGGGCCAGTATTGCAAGCCAGATACTCGTGGTGCTAATTATAGTTTAAACGAGAACGTGACAGTTGCTTTCGGAAGATGAGTTTTTCTCCATTGGATGATATTTGTCCGGCTGCAAAAACTCGGATAAATACAAGTTTTATTATCATTCAGTCTTAAAAAGGCTTATAATCCATGTCTTAAAAATACAAGAAATAAAAACAAAAACTAAAACAAAAACGAGACACATCTGTATGTCGCGCAGCAATGCCCCCCTCCCCCTCCACCCTTCACTAGATACATATTACAAATACGAAAAAGCGTTGTTATCACTGAAGAAAACGGCGCAATTCAGCTCTGCGCTTACTCGTAAGGGAAACGGAAAACGTCAAAACCTGAAAATCAATATAGGAAAAGGAAACATATATCCCCAGTGGAGGAGGTATATAGCGACAAGGCCGGTATTTGTTTTCATTGACAATGTATGCGGAACTTTGAACTCCCAAGAAAGCATCCGATTTAATTTGCACTATAGAAATGATTGTTTTACCATATATTATTGCTCTCCCAGCCATTATCTCATTAAAAATGTCAGCACCCAGCCGCAACACGGAAAAATGTTTTCTAGAAATCCTAAAATAACTTTCGGGGTTTTGTGATGAGTCACGAAAACGATTCAACTTTAGCTGGGGTTTATAAAGGAACCAAAACCTCCAGAGTTTTAATTTCACGTCTTAAAAACAAGCATAAGGATACATGATCAATATGAATAAGGGCAATATCCACAGACTCTCCCCACCCCCGATAGAAACACACTGCTTCCCTGCTTTACACATAAGCCCCCCTTTTTTATGATAAACGTATGCCCCTCCCCCCAAAAAAGGCACCAATTCAGTTTTGTAGCCGTCTTGTTCTGAGGAGAATGATAGAAATGACAACTTTGGATAGAGAGTAATGTTTGCATCCCCAGCCCACCCCTCTCCCACATCATCTTTGGAGAGTTCTCTCCCCCCAAAATTTGTTTGACATTCTAGTTCAGTTTAAAACCGAGAAAAATGTTGCAAATACCATTAAAAAAATAAAATTCTTAGATCATATCGGTGAGTATATACTGCGTCATGGATTTTGACAGTTCCGTATGAAAGCTAGTGACAACGGTGAAGTTTATCGGCACGGACGTCCGCCCTAAATCACTTTGTATTCAGCAGTCAATACTAAATGATTGAGAGGAAACACTTTTATACAGGTTCTTATAGAACAAGTTTCAGTAGGTAGGGTATGTCGTTTGATTCTTAGATTAACACGATCAACATATGGTAAGGAAAGTGCCAGTTTGAGACTTCAAAATAAATTGCTTTTTCTTTTTAAAGTCGAGAGATGGTCCTTATCAATGAAATTTAATTAGTCAATTCCTTATTACGTAAGCTAATATTTCTAGATCATGACAAGTTCTTTATTGATGATTCACGACTTGACATATTCTCCTCTCCAGGTGAGCAAAACGACAATGATTATAGCGTACTTTTCATGTAAATTCTACAGAGTTTAATTAAAGGTGTACCTGTTCAAATAGGTTTGGCTCAACAGAAGCGATCAATTCCTTTTCTTTTCACGTGACTCGTGTCTTGCCTTCATATGCTGTTAAATACAAGTAAATTTAGGATTTGGGCTTCTACTACTGGTTTGACTGTGAAAAGTGCTATAGAAAAGCAGTGGCCAATTCAGAACTTTAAGTTAATGGGGGCCCGTTCATCCAGAGTCCCAAGATGAGGGGGGCCCCGTCTCGAAAATATCTTCTCTTGGCCGTGCAGGCCTCAATTTAGCGTTAAAATAGGGGGGCCAGCCCCCCGACCCTCCCCTAGTACAGATTTGCCTCTGGTGAGTGCTTTCAGTTTGTCCTCACGAATAGTTATAATTGAACCCCGCTCCTTTATAGACTGCGAACGTTTAGTTTAAAAGTAGTGGTACTGTTCATAAGCTTAATTTTTTGATGAAGCACTCAGCTAGGATATCAATCAAACTCCATGGACAATGGTATTGGAAGAGTTTAAATAACTGAGAAAATGTTACACTTATTATTGTGACAAGAATATGTATTATTCAATCGTCCATCTTGAGTTCTAAAACCTTGTGGGGTTTAATTTCGTTTCAAATGAAATCAGCGGCAGTGTTCCGTTTATTGATACAATGTATGTCACTTCATGCCACTGTAAGCCTTAGGCAACTGAGACAAAAACTCAGCGAAAGAATTTTACACTGTGCATCATTACCAACTCTTGGTGAATGACTTATCGAATATTTTGGGGACTGCAAGAATTGTAAACTACAATATTACGGGTATAGTTGATATAAGAAGTGACGGAGAACAAAAAAAGCTAGAAAGAGTGAATACAGATTATATAATTGACGCTAAACTCTTCTAGATGAAGAATTTCAACATCAGGATAAATTATTCCTTTTGTTATCTTTCATGAACTTTCTTTTCAATTTACATGCGTCTCATGTATCACATATCTCGGAAACCATCTGCACATGCGCGAGAAAATGGCGGGAAAGTGCATCAGTTAAGTCAAGGAACGAGTAGACGTTTTCTGATATAGTAATTGAAGCCATATTTTGTTTTTTAAATTTTGTGATACCGAAATTTAAAGAGTGTTGAGGTTGTAAAATTCAATTCTTTTGTTTTTTAGTCTCAATGTTGAATGAAACTAATAGACAGACGCGTTACATGGTCATTTACACAGTATCTTTGATAATTTAACATCTATAACAAAATCTTATTAAGACTTCTCCCTTTTGTAGGGAGATATGTAAAGCGAAAAAAATGCCACTTAACGGAGACAAATATTTCTTAGAAGACGCAAAAAAAATGAATTTCGATCTAAGCTGAGGGAAAATCTATCGTTTAGACGCTATTATTGCCTTCAGTGTTGTTAGTGCAATAGAGGGGAGCGTGTATCGTTCGCCAACATGCTTGCATTTGACAGTATCTCTCGTCATGTTTGCCTGGCTGATAAAGTTCCACAAGTAACAGATGATAAGCTGAAAAACTGCACCAGATTCTGGTTGACAACGATGGCATTTATGCTTTAAAAACATTAACAACTGACAAAAATAAAATAAAGGTGGTTTCAGCAAAGTTTAACTTAAGCAATTAAACCCTCGTCTCCGTTGACTCTCAGCTGGCTTCCTTCGAGGCTTAACAAATCTGGCGAAATCTGCAAAAATGTGAAGCATCACACAACCTTTATGGTGTTTTGTTGCATTATTATAGTATCAAATTGGTAATTAATAATTTATATAAACGCTACATTATTGAAACATACGACAGATAGACATGAAAGACCGGCACCGCATTTTCCTGATGTTTAATGATGCCAAATGTAGCACTAGGTGACACGTATAGATTCGCAAGCTTTAAATCCATTAAGTTCTGAGCTCCATTAAAAGCTTTCATATCTTCAGTGAAAGCAAAAACGTCATGTTTAAGGTTTCATGGTGTGGAATTTCAATGCAAACCTTCCTTTTTTCAGTTGACCATTAAGTAAGATGACAAGGTCTCAAAGACAGGGCCCATGCTTCCAAATAGTTTAGAAATTTACGATATTTCGTAACAGTTCCCTCTGTCGTCTAACTCTTAAAGAAAACATGAATATATAAATATATGTTATTTCTATGTCCCATGAATTGCATGACTTTTCTTTTCTGAACAGCCAGCAGGGCTTTAAGGATTTAGATAGTTTACTAAATTAAGCGACGCAGACGCTAAATTAGAAACTTCGGGTAGAGTTGTATCTTTCGAGCGCCACATGGCCTGGAAAGAAACAGTCAATTTTATCTGTTTAAATGTCAAACAATTTAATGGATCTAGGAAGTTGTAAAATAGAGCTGGAATTTTGATGCCATTGGCGCTACGTTGACGGAAAAGTGATCATACAATCAAGGAACAGAGGGTAAGCTTGAGCTATTTATGTTTAAATGACATCAAAATTTGAAGATTTTCTATCACCTTGTATTTTCTTGCAGATCGTATTTAAATTTTTAACTAGGTAATATTTAAATGCATGATCGAATATCTGCCCCTTGAGCCTGTGTTTGGCCAGTTCCGTTTTCCAACTCAAAGCCGGTTATTTCCTTAAGATTCAGAAAAAGTAAACTTAAGACTTTATAAGTCTAAGTAACTGCTTGCTGTTAGAGAAGTGAACATTACTTTATAAAGATTTTCCTAGTATAGCCACCGTTTTTCCAGGGTGTAGAGCGCATATTTTTGGAACCTCAACCTATATCTGCTAAAACGCTTTTATTATTAGTTTTGTCAACTCCACTACTTACCACGCACTTAAAAATGCAAGAACAACCAAGACAAATCAGTGTTTGTTCAGTTCTTGGCGAAGCTGCTACGTAAGCTAACTCTCTTTTCAATCCTAACCCTATTAGAAAAATAAAATTTACGCCTTTAAGTCTTAAAACCGGCCCTAAAATCAATGTTGGCATTTGAAAATCCTTTATTTTTTGTTTGCACTGCAATTATTAAGCACTGAGTTTGAAGAGCGAACCAAAACTGCTAAAATGGAATGACATTATTATTCATATCGACCGTGCAGAGCGATGAACCATAGTTTCTGCAATTTCTCCTTACTTTCTCTTACATTATGTAGCTTTCCACACATC